TTTTGTTGTTGTGAACGGATTAAAAAAAAGATTTGTACTACAAAAGGGATATGTATCAATTAGATTAAGTACTCGACTAGAAAGAGTTTTATTTTTAGGGAGGAAAGTTCTTACATATTTTTTCCCCACATGTTGAATCCTGCCAGTCAGGATCCTTTTCCTATTTTTGTCTTTTAATAGAATATGTTCTTTTCTTTTCTTTTTTTTTTAAGATTTTATTTATTTATTTGAGAGAGAGAGAAAGAGAGAGAGAGCAGACAGAGCAGCAGGCAGAGGGAGAGGGAGAAGCAGACTCCCCGCTGAGCAGGGAGCCCAATGCGGGACTTGATCCCAGGACTCTGGGATCATGACCTGAGCCGAAGGCAGACACTTAACTGACTGAGCCACCCAGGCTCCGCAATATGTTATTTTCTTAAAAGATATTCTTGAAGTTTCTTTTCTGGGGGCTAGATTAATTGAATTTATTTGTTAATTTCCTTTGGGGCTAATGTAGCTTCAAAGTGGTCTGCCCTTTTCAAGCCCTGATACTCAAAATCTTGATTTCTCCTCTTCATGCATTATTCCCATTATTCCCATTATTCCGCTACTGAATACCAGGGTGAAATTCTCTTTTTAACAAACAAAAACATCCTTAGTCTTGAATTGAGACCTCTGCCTCACCATCCTCACCTCCATGTGACAGGGGCTCTCCTCTTGCATTTGCAAACTTAGAAAACGTGGAGGGAGAGGACTGCCACTAACAAGACATATTTGGAAACCACCAACCTAGCTTAGACTCACAATTCTGTAACCTTTATATTCTCTTAGCATTCTCTTGTGAGCCCGTGGCATGAGCCTTCCACCAGTGAAGGCATTAACTTCTCCCTTTTACATGTTGCCTGCAGATTCCATCTTATCCTTCTCCATAATGGGAGTGTGTCCTTTGTTATACTGGGACCATGGGCAAAAATATTTGAAGAAGAGATGAATCATGATTTCCTGGGTGTTAGCTTTACAATGGTCTCCTTCATCAATCTGTAAATTAGTCATGACTCTGTCACACCCTTACAGGTACAATTTACACAAAATGAATCATTTCAAAATATATTCTATGTGTAATTTCTATTTAGAATGTGGGTTTTATTTCCAAGGAGCATCAGTTTTGTAAGAAGGTTGGTTTAGCTACAATTTGCCTGCTTTGTAAAGGCCTGGAATTGATTTTTGATTATTCTTTTTTTCTTACATTTTAATGTTAGGTATACATAAAGAAAATGACATAAAACACATCGAAGTTAAAGAGTAATTTTTCATTGAACACTCATATGATGCCACCTTGCTCATAACCCAACTCAATTTGTCTTCTCCTGGATCCCACCATCATCCTGACTTTAGTTACTATTATTTGCTTTCCTTTTGTCATTTTTTTCCATTTGTGTGTAGCCAGGATAAAGATTGTTGGGTAGGGAGGTATGAGTAGCTTCAGCTTTATTAGAAAATGCCGAACACTTTTCACAGTGATTGCACCAGTTTGCACTCCTGCCACAGTTATGTGAGCATTCCATTGCTCCACATCTACACCAACACTCAGTTTTGTCAGGCTTTCAATATTCCTGATTACTAATGAGAATGAGCACCTTTGAATATAATTGTTACTCGTATGTTGTCTTTTTAGAGTGCTTATTGACATTTTTTACCCATTTTTTGTTTTCTGTAGTTTTGTAGGAGTACACGCGCGCACGGACACACCCATGATCTTTAATTATTTAAGTGTATTTTCCCAACCTGTGGCCTTGTCTTTTCCCTCTTTTTATGACATATTGTGAAAAGAAGTTCTTTCTTTTAATGTAGTCAAATTTATCAATTTTCTTTCCTTTATATGTAATGCTTTTTGAATCTTAAGTTTTTCCTAACCTGAAATTATAAAAATATTATGCTGTATTGTCGTACTAAACATTTGTAGTTTTGCTTTTTACAATTTAGCTTTTAATCAACTTAAAATAGATTATTTTCTGGTATAAAGTTGGGATCCAATTTTCATTTTTCCATATACATATCCACATTTCCCAATCAATAATTATTAGAAAAAACATTCTTAGTATAAACAAAGATCTTCCATGATACTTCCGTCCTATAAAGAGACCATGAATTCACTGTGTCTTTCTGAGTCCTTTATTCTATTATCTGTTATCCCTCTTTCAGCACTATGCTATTTTAATTATGTTGTGATAATTAAAAATAATTCTTATTAAATGGTAAGGCAAGTTATCTCATCTTTATATTTTCAAGTTTCTGGGCTTTTATGGGCTTTTTGCACATCTGTGCTTCAATGTATATGTTAGAATGAACTCCTTGTTCAAAAAAAACCCCCAAACTCTTAGAAATGCTTAACAGGATTGCAGTGAATCAATAGATCAACTTGGGAAAATTAACATCTTTACAGTATTGAGTCTTATCAAAAACATGGCTTACTCTCTATCTCTTCCTTGGTAATACATTTCGACATAATGTTTCTGTTTTCTCATGAGGTCTTAAAAATTTATGAGGTTTTTTTTAAGTACTTTGTGCTTTTAGGGGTACTGTGAATGTTAAGTTTTCTTTTTGAAACTGTTGCTGGCATCAGGATTTTTTTATATCCAGCAACTTTACTAAACTATGTATTAATTTCAATATGTTATCTGCAGGCAGTCTTTTGAATTTTTCTAAATACATGTTCATAGTGAATAATAGCTTAATTTTTTCCTTTATTTTTATATATAAATGTGTGTGTGCATGTGTGTGCACCCATGTTTTCTTTTTTCTTATCCAATTGCATCCACTAGTACCCTTAGGAAAACAATGAATAGAAATAGTAGTAACAGGTGTTCTTGAGTTAGGCTGAGTCTCCTAGGGAAAACATTTAAAAGTAAAACATTTGATGTAATTTTTAAGAAATTAACATAGTATAAAATTAACTTTTTGGTGCACAGTTCCGTGAGTTTTAGCTCATGTGCAAATTCATGTACCCACCACAGTAATCAGGATAGAGAAATGTTACATCACCCCCAAAATTCCTTTGTGTGCGGCCCCTTCATAATCAAATACTAGCATCCCCCCAACCTTGGCCACTGCTGCCGTGATCTGTTTTTATCCCTATGGTTTTGTCTTTTCCGGAATGTCATATAAATGGAATTAAACAATAATTAGACTTCTGAGACTTTTTCACTCTGTGTAATATCTTGAGATTGATTTATGTTGAAGTATGTATCAGTAGTGATTCCTTAGTATTGCTGAGTAGTATTCCCTTCTATAGCTATACCACAATTTGTTTATATATTCACTCTTGAATTATATATGTTTTCTAGCTCTGCAATTTATTCATCTTTCTTAAATAAGAAAGCTGCTTAACTTCTTTATGCATTGACTTCTTCATCATTAATGGGGATAATGTACCTACATGACAGGGTTATTGTGGGAGAAAAAATGAGTCCATACATATGAAGTACTTAAATAATGCCTCATATATAGTAAATGCTCAATAAATACAATCCATATCGTTGTCTCCAATATTAGTAAAGATTTTGAGGTAGAAAAAAACTTGACAAGTTCAAGGAATAGCAAGAAAGCCAGAGTGCCTGGTCTGTAACGAACAAGGCAAAGACAGGGAGAGGCATGTAGGTGCCATGTTGTGAAGGGTGTTATGGGCTGCAGTAAGAGTTGGGATTTCACTCTAAGTGCATTGGAAAGCCCGGGATAAGATAATCTGGTTCAGGCCTTTACTAGATTATTCAGACTGCTGTAGAAGAATGGGTATGGTGGTGGTGTTAAGAGTCAAAGCAGGCAAACTTTCTAGGTTATTGCAGAGGTCAAGGAGAAAACTGTGGTAGCTTGGACCATAGGGGTGGTTGGTGAGTGTGGGGATGGTGAGAAGTGGTTTGATTCAAGGTATGGTTTGGATGTAAAGTTCACAGAACTTGATGACAGATTCATAGCTCAATGTAACACATTCCCCATAAGAGCAGCGGTGTGACCATTTATAATAACAGCAACACTCCTGTCCTGTTGTGGCTTTACCAAAGATTTCCCTCATCCATTTTTGAATTGACACCTGAATTTTCATGCCTGATTTCTGAAATCCACCTGAAGAAATAGCCTATCCTTTCATATATTTTTTAAATGACATCTAACTGCTTCTTTAGTACTCATACTCACAACCCCAAACACATTGTTAAGGTAACAACTTAGCCCACAAAAATGTTTTTCCATAGCATTTTGCTTTGTGGTCCTCCAGTCTGTATAGTTCTATGACCCCACATACTTAGTCGTCCTGCTGGAAATAAAGTTGTCAGAGCCGCTTCATGCTTAGCCAGCGGGCTGGTAGTTTTAGTTGTTGGCTGGAGTTCTTGTGTACACTTGGGACTTTTTGTTGGAATAAACATTATTAGACCCAGGCTAAAATTGGATCAGAAATTTATTTTTGTCCTCCTTTCAACCTCAACTCACCCTAGATTATCTCATCCAAATGACAAATGGTTTTGACTTTCTGAAGGGATCTAAAGATTAAAATCAGCCCTGGATGCTTGCTTAGCCTTGCATTCAAATGGAGATTTTTTTTTTTTAACCAGTTAAAAATAGAGTTCTCTGATCTCACATACAAAGTTTTATTTCCTGTGTGTCTGCTCTTAACACGTCTGTATTTGTTCTCAGTGCTGCCTGAGCTTCCAACTCCTTCTTAAAGACAAACACCTGACCCAGTCTTTATCTGGAACACTCATCATGCTTTTTTTAACCCTATCCTCCCTGCTTAATTTGGGGCCTCTCATAATTCAGCGTTTGCCAAATGGAAGGAAATTTCCCTTCTATCCTAAGCGACTTGTCCTATCTTGTCCCAGTTTTCAACATCTCTTGTCAGGTTAATGTCAAACTGTGGCATTTATTGACTTAGTTTATTTGCAGGAGGGACTCTGGCCTCTTGGAGATGCTCACTTGAATTTTGTGTATAATTTTGTGCTTTTTTGTAATCGGCTTCTTTTGTGATCTTACAGAATACCAAGCTGCTATTTTACACTTGAAGAGGGAACACAAAGAAGAAATTGAAAACCTACAGGTATATCTCTTTGATTCTACTGAACCGGTTATTGAGACTGCTACCTCATTTTCTCATGTGCCAAAGTAAATATTCCCCTTTTGTTGCCATATTTGCTTAGACAGCATCTGCAGCTGGTACCTGCCAGCAGGCACTGCGTTTATCCTGGGGAGGGAAAACTTGCACTCCATTTTTAATATAATTCAATTCCTATTTTTAAGAAATGCAAGTGCCTTTGACTGGGAAAATGATATGCTTGGAGAAAATATTGGTTTTATTTGAAAAGCAGGAAACAAGAGCGAGTATTTAGAATTTTACTCTTTGTAAGAAGTCTTTAAAAACCTATTTTTCCTATGCACACTGTAAGCTGTTTTGTTTGACTTTCCCATTCATGTATTTGTATCCATCCATCTCAGGATATCCCTGAAATATGATGTCATGCAGATCAAGGCACTTAGGGAAGTGGCCCTGGTAGGAGCCAGAGTTGTGCTGAGCCATCCATTCTCTATCCCCAGGGAGTGCTTGGAAATTGCTGACTTGATCCCAGAAAGACTGAGGGATTATTTACTTCCTCCCACTATCTAATTGTCCCTCCTTTAATGTTTGGTCTTTGCTTGCAGTGCCAATGACAGAAAGTTGTAGAGTTTTAATTTCAGGTAACTAAATATTGAATCAAGCACTGATTCTAGTTTCCTGATGGCTGGGTTGACCCATACCTTAGAGGATAAGAACAAAATTTAAATAAAACTTGGTGTTTGTTTGGTGCTAACTCATTACTTGCTAATTCAATGAATTTGTGGATCAAATATTCTTCTTTCCAATAAGTGATAATGTGCTTTTTAACATAACTGAGACACTGTATTGGATTACAGGTTAAGCCATTGCAAATAGCAAAAGAAGATTATTAAATAGGTCAGGTGATGTATAAATTCAGCTTGTTTTAAGCAGTTTGGAAGGGGGAATGAGTCCATTTCACAAAGAAACAAACAACCAAAACTGGAAAAGTACCTCTGTCTCCTAGGGGGAAAAGAGAGGTGGAGGCCCTTAGCTCTTTTGTTGCAAAATGCGCTACAGAGACCTCTCTTCTTTGTTCTGGTGTGTGAAAGATTCTCAGCTTCTCAGAGGAAGTGAAATGGGGATTCATTTAAGAAACAGATTGCTAAAGAGGGTAGGCACAGAAGTGATTCTGTGAGCAGAAGTTTTGTGTAAGAGCTCAGTTGTAAGTTAACATTGGCTTCTCCAGGTTTTAAAGCAGCCCTGTGAGGCTTTGATAGCTAAATAATATTCATGGTAACAGCAGGCTATTACTGTTTTTGAGTTCTTACTTTGTGCTGGGCATTGTTCTAAGTATATTACATATAGTATCTTGTGTCATCTCCACAAAAGTTCAATGATCTTATATCTCAAACTAAGGAAAGGTTGGAGAAGGAAAAGAGAAGAGTAAGTGGAAGGAGAGAAAGTATATTGCGATCATGATCTCCAGTTAAAATAGAAGTTAAATCAAGATTTGATTGACAATAATAAAGGTGAAAAAGTGTTCCTAATTGTGTCTTTAGTTTTTTTTGTCTGTGAAAGGATTATCTGTTCTCTGGATGCTATTAGTAAACTTAAATTCTTTTTGTACCATATTTATGATTCGTATAAAATTGCTGAAACCCTGTGGCCATGACACACTCCTGCCATCAGGTTGGGGGCGGTGTACCCAATCCATACACTTACCTGTACTTTGGAACTATTTCCAGCAATCACAGGCTGACAGCCTTCAATAGGAAACTGGCAACTCTTATCCCTGATCTGACCTAAAGAAGTGTTTTTGGGCAAACACAGCATTTTAAAGATTGAATTAGGAATACACATTTTAAAAATATGGAGGAGTTTCTAAGAAAAAATTAGAAATTCTGGCAACAGTGGGCTTGTTTTCTTGACTTCAACCAGCTGGGATTGAGTAAGCAGGTGTCTACTTCAACTGGGATATGTGTTCTCCAGTTTGCCACTGTCCCCACTCTGGGCCACTTCCTCTACCTGGCCCCTTTCTGCTTTAATTAACCCCTATTCTCTGGGAGTTGAAAATAACTAGATAGACAGCAACACCAACCAGTCAGAACAGATAGAGCTCATAAAACAGGCGGTGACCCAGCCTAGCTGTGCTTGTGTGTGCTCACTGAACACCATCTCCACTTGTTTTATTCCACAAAGAAACAGCTACATCTGTTGTCACAGGACTAGTAGAAGACACTGGGTAACAGAGCTGTTATTTTGATGTTCATTTCCTTATATGTGATTTCTATTGGCAGCCCTCATTGTCTGTTAGGTTTCCTTTCTCCACTTGCATGTCATGGAGAAGTCAGGTGTATTTCAGGACTTCTTCAGCATGCCTTTCTAGAATAAAAAGGATTTCATGCTTAACATTCACAGGAAAAGTGATTCATTCTGTCACTATATACAAGAATTGATGTGTATCACCATTAGTTTTTTTAGTTTGTTTTCACAGACTTTAAAGAAATGGCATGATTTAATAAACAAAGAACCTAAATCAGCTGTCTATTTTTTTTTTTTTTTTTTAAGATTTCTTTATTTGGGCGCCTGGGTGGCTCAGATGGTTAAGCGTCTGCCTTCGGCTCAGGTCATGATCCCAGGGTCCTGGGATTGAGTCCCGCATCGGGCTCTCTGCTCCTTGGGAGCCTGCTTCTCCCTCTGCCTCTCTCTCTCTCTCTGTCTCTCATGAATAAATAAATAAAAATCTTTAAAAAAAAAGATTTCTTTATTTATTTGAGAGAGAATGAGAGTGAGCATGAGCAGGAGAGGCAGAAGGAGAGGGAGAGAGAATCTCAAGCAGACTCCATGCTCAGCATGGAGCCCGACATGGGGCTCAATCCCCTAACACTGAGAGCAGGACTTGAGCCAAAACCAAGAATTGGTTGCTCAACTGACTGCACCACCCAAGCACCCCAGCAGTCTATTGCTTTGGGGTATAGATTCAGAGAGAAATCACTTAATTATTCAGTTTCCCACCAGCAAAATGGAAACCTTACCATCTAAAATGATTTGAAGTTGACCTTTCTAGCACAGAGCCCCAAAGCTAGTAAGTGGGGGGAGTCTGGAGTTTGTAATCTCATGTATGCTCTGCAGTCAGTATGTATGGAGTGCTGCACTATAGAAAGGCCCCAGGGCTTAGTCCTAGAACTGGCTTTTCAAAATGTGTAGCAACTCACATGCATATTCCCTTATTCAACAACAAAGATTTATTGATGCTTTGAATGAAAACCATTCTCAGCATCCATGTTTAGACACCTTCTACATAAACAGAGCATTTGGCTAACTCCGATCTCCAGTAGGAGAGTAGTGGCAGATCAAACATTTCTTATGACTTCGCTATTTTATGTCATTTATAATATAACCACAGCAAATTCTTCAATTTTGTCCAAGGATGCCCTTCATTTAGCAAACTCAGCTTTGAGGGTTTATGATGACTTTGTGACACTCAGCATCATCTGGTTAATTTTTCATTTTTGGATAGTTCTGTGTTACTGACTTCATTTTTATTTTTATTTATTTTTATTTATTTTTATTTTTTAATTTTTTTAAAGATTTTATTTATTTATTTGACAGAGAGAGAGAGAGAGATAGCGAGAGACGGAACAGAAGCAAGGGGAGTGGGAGAGGGAGAAGCAGGCTTCCCGCGGAGCAGGGAGCCCGATGCAGGGCTCGATCCCAGGACCCTGGGATCATGACCTGAGCCGAAGGCAGACGCTTAACGACTGAGCCACCCAGGTGCCCCCGACTTCATTTTAAAAAAGACAATACCTCACCTTTACAGGTTCTTACTTATCTGAGAAATTTTTGCCTGGGGTTGCCATTGCCCAAGTTCATGACTATTGGGTAGAAATGTATTTCAGACCTGCCCTTTTAAGGCACATGATAAAACTAATTCTCCCATGGTACAAATAAAGAGTTACTTCTCTGAGATTCCTAGGATCAAGATTTTTTTTGAAGATTGCTCTATGTTGATTCATATAATCTTTTTTTTTGCATTTAAAATATTTAAAGGTTTTTGTTTTTTTCTTCATTATTTTTTATTATGTTATGTTAATCACCATACATTACATCATTAGTTTTTGTCTTTTTTTAATTTTTTTTAAAAGATTTTATTTATTTATTTGAGAGAGAGAGAATGAGAGAGAGCACATGAGAGGCGGGAGGGTCAGAGGGAGAAGCAGACTCCCCGCCGAGCAGGGAGCCCGATGCGGGCCTCCATCCAGGGACTCCAGGATCATGACCTGAGCTGAAGGCAGTCGCCTAACCAACTGAGCCACCCAGGCGCCCTACATCATTAGTTTTTGATGTAGTGTTCCATAATTCATTGTTTGCATATAACACCCAGTGCTCCATGCAGAACATGCCCTCCTTAATATCCATCACCAGGCTAACCCCCCCCCCCAGAACCCTCAGTTTGTTTTTGAGAGTCCATAGTCTCTCATGGTTCGTCTTCCCCTCCGATTTCCCCCTCTTCTTTCTTCCCCTCCTGCTATCTTCTTCTTCTTCTTTTTTTTTTTTTTTTTAGCATATAAGGTATTATTTGTTTCAGAGGTACAGGTCTGTGATTCAACAGACTTACACAATTCACAGCACTCACCATGGCACATACCCTCCCCGATATCTATCACCCAGCCACCCCATCCCTCCCACCCCCCACCACTCCAGCAACCCTCAGTTTGTTTCCTGAGATTAAGAATTCCTCCTATCAGTGAGGTCATATGATACATGTCTTTCTCTGTTTGACTTATTTTGCTCAGCATAATACCTTCCAGTTCCATCCACGTTGTTGCAAATGGCAAGATTTCATTCCTTTTGATGGCTGCATAATATTCCATTGTATATATATATACCTTCTTTATCCATTCATCTGTCGATGGACATCTTGGCTCTTTCCACAGTTTGGCTATTGTGGACATTGCTGCTATAAACACCGGGGTGCACGTACCCTTTCAGATCCCTACTTTTGTATCTTTGGGGTAAATACC